CACACACACACACACAGACACACACACACACAACACACACACACACACACACACACACACACACACACACACACACACACACACACACACACACACACACACATCACACACACCACAACACACACACAGAAAGAGAAAGAGAGAGAGAGAAAGAGAGGAGAGAAAGAGAGAGAGAGAAGAAGAGAGAGAGAGAGAAAGAGAGAGAAGAGAGAGAAGAGAGAGAGAGAGAGAGAGAGAGAGAGAGAGAAGAGAGAAGAGAGAAGAGAGAGAGAGAGAGAGAGAGAGAGAGAGAGGAGAGAGAGAGAGAGAGAGAGAGAGGAGAGAGAGAGAGAGAGAGGGAAGAGAGAGAGAGAGAGAGAGAGAGAGAGAGAGAGAGAGAGAGAGAGAGAGAGAGAGAGAGAGAAGAGAGGGAGAGAGGAGAGAGAGAGAGAGAGAGAGAGAGAGAGAGAGAGAGAGAGAGAGAGAGAGAGAGAGAGAGAGAGAGAGAGAGAGAGAGAGAGAGAGAGAGAGAGAGAGAGAGAGAGAGAGAGAGAGAGAGAGAAAAGAGGGGCACGCATATATACGTGTACATATTAAACTATACATATACATACATACGCACTGTGCGTACTGTACATATGTGTCTGTATAATAATTCCCCATATATAAATTAGCAGAGACAGTGACCAAACACACGTTCAAATATATGTGTATATTTATACAATCACATGTAAATGCACATCCACATAGAGTATGGCATATAATCACGCAATGTAACACGCTAATGAAGGGAATGTTTGATTGCGTCCGCGCGTGCAAACCACATGACCATATGTAGGCTAAACTAATGAATCGATGCATTGTACGTCATATACTTTTTAAATATTTTTTGAAAATATAATAATGCGTAAGATTGAATCATGTTTAACCGTTGGTGATGCTCTTTTTTAAATTGAGAAAGAAAGGACCGTCGTAAAAAATCGGTAGAGAATAGTAGATAAGAAGAGGTCAACGGCTGAAGAGCATCTAAATTATTGTACTCCTGGCAACTCTGAATCTGGTAGATCGATGTAAAGCAAGTTCGGGTCCATCTCGATTTTCTTCTGTCGTCGATACGCCATTCGATGCCTCCTTCTTCTACTTTCTAAGAGAGACGAATGTGTGTGGCTATCCGATTCACAGTTCCCTTTTCCCCCCTTTTCACGGCCGGGCCAGGGCCATAGAGCATCGTGTTGGCCTCCGTGCGTGGCCATGTCGGCGGGGAAAATGACGCGTGGCAACTCGGTCGTGTGAGACAGGTTGAGTTGCTTCTTGGCGTTCGCCCACTGGACTGACCTCGTGAGCGAGTGCGATAACTTTGGCCAGACTACAAATTAATCCGCTCACTCGAGAATCACGTATAATATGCGATTTGGGGAGGAAAAAGGGACGTGTTTCCTCTTCTGCCCCGGCCAAGACGTGAGCGGCCGTGGTTCGCCCTCTCCGAAAAGCGAGACTGGCGGCGGGAGGGAGGGAGGGGGACGGCGGGCGTGCGGAAAATGGGCGCGTGGCAACCGTGCACACGTCCAGGGCGACCTAAAGGCGAAGTGAGGTGATGGCCGCAGTAATAGTGTGGCTGCGGCAGTGATAGCAAGGGGGTGCGTCAACCTCCCCGTGTGGCCAGACTCGTGTCCCTTAGTTGCAACCTTGAGGTGGAAAAACAACCAGTGCTTGGGTGAGATTCCGTGCAGGGAAAATTGGATAGGATATTTCACGTCGTTCGTGTTCTCTGGACACTGTGAATGGCATAGACTTTATTTTAAAAAGAGACTGCGCAACGGCTGATTTTGATTTTGGAAATATTGAGAATCTTACATGACTACCGGCTTTGAAATATGGCATCTTTCCAGCTGAATGTTAAGACCAAGCATATTGCGTTATGCACCTGTACACGCTCTGAAAAGTGAAGCGAAGACTCAGTCCGCATAGAAGGACCTCTGCAGCATCAGTTTTTTATTTTGTATTTTCGGATGGACTGGCAAAAGCTAGGTTGGTCTGGCAGTCTGTCCATTTCACCTGCACTGCTAACGTTTTGTCTTCACTCTGTGCCATGTCGTTTTTCCTTAATGTTTCGTCTGTGTGCTGTTCGCAAAGGGCTTGCTTGCTTGTGAGCACTGCAGGAGAACCCTCACAGCAGAACACACGCCGTATGATGCATTTTAAACCACGTGTATTTGCAACGTTTCTCGTTATTTTGGGGGGTTGATGTAAAGCCCCGATTTAACTTTTTTCTTCACTC